TAATATTTCAAATAATACTCTATCCAAGCAAGAACTAGGAACAATCCATATGTTTACGAAAGCAGTTCTAGCAATTGGTCAGATCTAATGGCCTGTAACTCACATCGTAATATTTTATATTTTATAATTCTGTTAAATTTAATGATTTTTCAAATTAGATATATCTTTCATATGTTTTATATATTTTCTGCCATTACTGGTCTTTTTTCGTCAAACAAATCGTGATAGATGATTTTCAATTAGTTTATTAATAATATTGACTCCTATTTTATCAAAAAAAAAAAAAAAGAACTAGGAACAATCGAAACAATCACTAGGCACAGGCACATACCAGAAGGATGTTGCTTGAGCTTATCAATATGAACCCACGCAATCAGCAGACTGCCTTTTGCCGATGCCGCACTAAGGCTTCTTAAGTTTATTTTATCAACTCAACAATCCAATATCCAATGACTTTGGAAAAACTGTGTGGAAATTTATCCTCAAACGAGATCAAGATCTATGAAGTTTCACGAAACCGTGCTCATAGGACTAGGGTCTTGTTTGGTAGATAAGTTTTTTGTCAAATTTATCTGTTACAAGTTTTTTAAAAACTTTAACTACAATAATCTCAAAAAACTTCTCAAAGTTTTTAAACTATACACATTAAAATATTAAAAAAAACACACTTTAAAATTTTTTTTAAAAACTTCTACAGTAAGTTATAGTAAAATTTTAAACAAACACCCAAAAAATTCACTTGCCAAACGTTGTCATTACACTCTTATATGTCTTCTCATCTTTAATTACTGATGTCACAGTCACTATCTTAGGATGCCATTCTATGAAACACGTAGTTTAAGCATTTTTGCCAACATGCCATGACCATAAGGCAGTTTCATTTTTTCCTTTAATCAAGCTTGATAATGAGTCAATACAAAATTCTCATCCGAATTCAGTCTCCCTCACGTAAAAAGATTATATGATTACAAAACTGCATACAAATGACCCAAAAAAAAAAATTTAAGAGGGACTGATTCAAGAAGTCTAAGAAATAAAATATCCATACATCCATACCTTGGGCTCTTTTTAAAAATTTTTTTTTATTATGCTGTTTTGGTTTATCCTCTTTTGGGGGTTTCAAAATTAAATTTGGGGAGATAAGGTTGATGATGTGATGAAATCTGACGAAAAAATGGTTGTTCGAAGGACGGTAAAATTAATTGAAGAGCGGATGAATTGATACTGTAGCTGCAGAAGGTAAAATTTAATTACCTCAATTTGTTCCTTATTACTCATTTGCATGTCTCTCACTTTAGGATAACCTGCCATTATTTGGCCTCTGTGGATTTGATGATCATCATTTTAGGATTTGATGATCTCATTTTAGTTCTGTACGGAATGGAATATTTCAATGAACATATTTTCTTAGGTGTTAATGGAGTTTATTATATAGTCAGTTTTGGAAACTCTTTAGTGATTTGACAATGCATGTGTATGGTTAGTTGTCGTTTTATCAATAATATCGTGTTTTTTCAATAACATCGAATCGATAATAGCTATAAATATCTTGACTGATCATGCCGACTGTACTATTCTCATTTTTCTTATCATATGGAGTGTTTGGATAGAATATTATTTGAAATATTATTTAAAATAATTAATGTAGTATTTTTTTATAATGTGATATATATGAAATAAAAAAGTGATTAAAAATATTAAAAAATGAATTGAAAAATGTGTTTATTTCTTTCAAAAAAATTATGTTTATGATACAAGCGAAATATTATTTGATAAAATTGAGCTATCATGGCTGAGGTGGAGGCTATTGCCCCTGCTTCATTTTTTTTTAAAAAAAAACTCTATATATTATGTATATCAAGTATTTTTGGTCCCACCAAAAATGATACATTTGCGGTCGATATTAATTGGGAGTAAAAGTGCAAACAAATTTAGAGACTCTCTAACTCAAAATCGACATTTCTGGCCTTATTAAAATAGATAAATAGACTGATAGAGTAGCCTTCTCCTTCTTTTCTCCTTATTTTCTATTCCCTCTGTCCCATTCATTTGGTTATACTTTTCATTTTGAAATGTCCCAAAATAATTGTCATGTTAGAAAAGTCAAATCAACTTTTACACTCTCTTTTCAATATAATCCTTTTTTTTAATCATACATTCAAATTTAAAATTTGAATTTGAGGGGGTAAAATTGGAAAGAAAAGCACAAACATCACAATTAAACCACTATTCTTAAAAAGTTGGATTCCCCAAACATAACCAAATGAATGGGACGGAGGGAGTAATAGCGACATCTACGGACTGGATTGAAAATATAATGCTGTTTTTATTTTCTATGTCACAAAATGATTGTCACTTGCTAATATTGACAAACCATTTTTATTCAATTTTCGTCTTTCAACCAACCATTAAGGTGAAAGAGGAAAGTGTAGATTAAAGCTATAATTATTGGTTTACAAAGTTGAAAAGTAAGTGGAAAAATGACAAAACACATAGGCCCACCATTGGCTCCTTTTCAAGGATTCCTAAAAAACTTTTGAATTGTCATCACTAAATGAACAGGGCAAAGTTGGGATATTTTTCAGATTTCCTTCTTCAATGATTTTTCTTTTTAGCTGATAAGACTTTTATGTTGACAAATTGCTATTACTACTGATCGACATGCGACGCGACTAATAAATTGGGAAGGAAGTAATAATAATTAGTACGTACCAAATGCAAACACTTGTGAGTAGACACGAAAATTACTATTTTAGTGTGTTTTAAATATTCGGCGAATTTCTAGAAATAATGCTAAATTTAGAAAATATCCCATTTATGGTATTTCATGAGATTGTTTTCTTTACTTAGAGTCATCTTTGACAATAAAATAGTATTTTTATTTTGAATTATTTTTTGGTGTCAGAATGACTAAAAGTTTTAATTTTTTTATACATCTTTGCGGGTGACTGTGAAAATGACCATTAGCCGCATCCAAAAAGTGGATGCGGCGACGCAAGATGTCAGAAATCTTAACCGTCAAGTTTTCTTATTATTTATTTGGGAGCAAATTATCCCAGTGGCCACTAAACTTTTGCCATCGTCGAGTTTTGGTCACTCAACTATTAAAAGGCTGGTTTTGACCATCAAACTGTATAAAAGGTAGACTCGAACCCATTCTGTTAGATTTAGTCGTTAACTTCGCAGAGGTGTCCGTTTGCGCGATTTCCAATACAAAAGGTAGGGTCAATTTAGAAAGTCGAAAATAGATCTTCTTGTTCTTCTTGTATAAAGCTAATAAAGATTACTTACCCGAGAGAAACTACAAGAGAAGGAAATGGAAGAAGCCCAACTTGGATTAGAGGAAGCAGGACCAAGATCAACGCCACCAAGAGCCGGGCCAGCAAGATCCATGCCACCTACATCGTTGACACCCATTTTGCCTACTTGTGTTTGTGGGATGAAGACAGTAATGATAACTTCATGGACTGTACAAAATCCGGGAAGAAGATTTGCCAAATGCGCATTGGGGGAGGTTTGTAACATTTTTTTAGATACTTAATTTATTATTGTGTAAGAAATATAATGAATTTGTTTTTTTTTTAAGGATGGCTGTGGCTATTGGGGTTGGATAGATGATGAAATGTGCGCTCGATCTACAATGATTATACCGGGTCTACTCAGAAAGATCAATGGAATGGAGGAAAAAATGGTTGAATTTGAAAAAGCTGCAAGAAAGTAGGAAGCAAAAGCTGTGAAATTGGAGGGTAAAATGAAGCCACTTCAAATTAAAATTGCCAAGTACAAATCAGCCAATAAGCGACTCATTCGATGCGCAGTGTTGCCTTGGCTAATAGTTGTCTTAGCAATGTTAGTTATGAGAATAGGTAATTCTGGTGGCATGCTACAAATTTGTGGCATCGTTGAAAATCCTTGAAGAATAGCTACTCTGTTGTAATGGTAGCATATTGAAAGGGAAAGGGCAAATGGCTTTATAAAGCCCCTTTTGTACTCCTCTGTATAAACATTTTGATGTATAAAAGTTGTATTGTTCACATGAATAAATAGTTATTATTTGGTGTCAAAAAAGGTTTGAAACAACACATTTCAGTTCTATTAATTTCATCAATAAATGACAAAGACATAAGAACTAAACAAAAGTGCTGCATTAACATAGAACAATCTGTGTAGATTGGACAAAATAAATTGTTTGTACATATGGACCATGTTCGTAATAGGTCAGTATATCAAATCCAAAACAAACTTCATACAAAAAGACAAAATGTAGTTGAATTATGTCCCAATCTAGCTATAGCTTTCTTCCTCTTCAATTTGATCCTCTTTTGACTCTTGGTTGTCCTCTGGTAGTTGTTGCTGAAGTTCCTCCTCTTCTAATACCAGTTCTACTCCATTTTCCTCTCCAATTTCCAACAGTGAAAGGAGGTTCTTTACTTAAATATGCATAATTGACATTGATCCGCCCCTTTTCTGAATCTGTTAACTTTCGTTTTCCTGCTTTCCTTTGTTGATGAGCCCCTTGGCTCTGAGACTGTTGTTGGTTTTGTACAACTTCTTCCTGCTGTCGATGCTGTGCATGTTCACTTTCCTCAACAGCAGATTGTGATTGCTGTTCTTGTTGGTTCTGCTGATACTCTTGATCCTGCTGCTGCTGTTGATTCTGTTGCTATTGCTGATCCTGCTGCTGTTGCTGCTGCTGATGTTGATTTTGTTGCTGCTGCTGCTGATTTTGCTGCTGCTGATATTGATCCTGCTGCTGGTGTTGCTGGTGCTGTTGTTGGGTCTGCTGCTGCCTCTGGTGCTGCTGTTGGGCCTGATGATGCTGCATCTGATGCTGGTGTTGGGTCTGATGTTGCCTCTGGTGCTAGTGTTGGGTCTGATGTTGCCTCTGGTGCTGGTGTTGGGTCTGTTCATGCTGACTCTGGTGCTGGTGTTGGTTCTGCTGTTGCTGCTGCATATTCTTAGAACCACGCTGCTGCTGTTGGTTCTGCTCCTGCTCCTCGCTATCCTGATTCTGCTGTTGTTGATTGTCTTGTTGCTGCACCTTGCAACCAGCTGCATTATGGCCGGCAACACCACATTTTCTGCAATGGTTGACTATTCTTCTCCGCAACCTGTTTCCAGTCTTTTGAGTTTCAGTAGGATCTCTTCTCCTGGCCTTCTTAGGTCTGCCAGGTTGCACTATCCTTTCTGGTGGATCAAGATCTACCCCATCAGCTTCAGGCCACATTACTTGTCCATTGATAGGATACAAAACATTTTTGTAAATTTTTTGAAACAGATCTCTGTTGTAGCAGTCATACACCTCTTTATAGGGGTCGCCATTATTTCTGTGAATTGCTGCAATAGCATGACAGCAAGGAATACTTGATAGATCCCACAGTTTGCATGTGCAGGATTTTTTCTTTAAATAAACAGCAAACTGGGCCCCCCTTGGTCCCCTAACCTGGTATCCATCCACAGCATTCCAAATGGTCCTCCATTGTCTTGATTCTATCACCCTATCATCAATTATTTTTTTAATTAGTGGGCCAATGGACAATTCAAATTTCTCCATTGCAGTTGTCCTTCTCTGTATCCTCTCCATCAGAAATATCCTAATGGACTCTAACATTGTGATAATTGACTGCTGCCTAGCTTCAAGTATATGACCATTAAAACTTTCACACAAATTATTAACCAACATATCGCATCGAGTATGTTCTTAAAAAAAAGTCTTACACCAATGACTGGGATGTGGTGCTTTCTTCACCCATTCATATGCTTCCTTGTCAAATTTTTCCAGATCTGCTGCTGCTTTCTTGAATAGTCCCTCAGTAGTACTTGCTGCAATGTTCCACAGTTTTGTCTTCAGGGCAAGTCCACGATGTTTCTTCTTGAAGTTGTTATATAGGTACTGCACACAGTATCTGTGCTCACTGTTTGGTAGTACCTCAGATAATGCTCGGTCAAGACCCTATAAATTATTACAAACAAAAGGCATTAGTAAATTGAAACAGATCCGTGTACAGTGCATATACAAAGGGAAGGAGTTAATACCTTCTGCTGGTCAGAAACAAAGGTGTAGCTGTACCCATTTTCAATCTGCAAGTCATTCTTCAGCAGCTCAAAAAACCATTTCCACTGTTCAGTTGCTTCCCTCTCAACCACTGCCCAAGCAATGGGCCACCATCCATTGTTGGGATCTACTCCAATAGCAGTCAACAGATGTCCCCGATATTCAGCCTTTATGTGGCATCCATCAACCCCAATAATGGGCCTACAACCGTCAAGAAAGCCTTGTTTTAATGGTCCCAAACAGCAATAAAGTCTCATGAATTTTGGGTTGCATCCAGGTTGTCTGAAGGGAGTAAACATAACTTCCATTGTGGTATTTGGGTGTGTCCTCTTAATTTCTGCACAATATCTCCATATGTCCTTATATTGCTACTCTGCATTCCCTTGAATCTCCTTTTTAGCAATTGTCCTTGCATTGTATGCCACCCATTTTGAAATTTTCGCTTTGAAGTCCTCATCAACTATTTGTTTTAATAATCTTGGAGGCATTTCAACATTACATCTAAATCTCTCCATGTACTTGTTTGCAAGCCACTTAGCAGAAATATTCTTGTTCTTCCATACATGACTGCAGTTTGTGTGCTCATTATTCATGCTCTTGACAACCAAATCAGCTATTCCAAGTTCCCTCTCAACTGAAGCATAAACAAACCATTGGCAAGGAGGTTTGCATTTTGCTCTAAACCTTTTTTTTCATTTGTGTATGGCTTTACTGGTTTTCCTTTCATGATGGAATATGTTCTAACAGCTAATCTTAGCTGTTCAGCTGACTCAAACTTCATTCCTATGTGAAACTCAAAATTAGGGTCTTTTAGATCTCTCTCCGGATTGAAATCAACATACCTATTCCTCCAGTCATCATCATTCTCTTCATCTGAGGAGCCAGCATCACTATGCAACTCAGTCACCACTGTGTCTTTATTTAATGCATGGACATCATCTAAATGAGGAGCTGCCTCTTCTCCTGATGCTCTATTGTTGTTTCTTCTCCTTCTAACTTGCTTCTTCCTCCGCGACTGTTGGTTTCCAGTTCCCACATCCGTGGATTGTTCTTCATTTGTCTCAGGCTGCTGCTGATGTTCAAATTCAGTTTCAAGTCCTGATTGTTGTGACCATGGATCCATCCCAGCTGTTTGTTGTTGTCTGCCTAGCTCATCTACAACTGATTCTTGCTGTTGTGCAGCATTATTACAATCATCATTAGAATTGGGATGTTGTGAAGATCTAGGTTGCTCTGTATTTGAAGAATCCACACCAGATTTTAGCCCCTCAACAATCAATTCTTCTAACATTTCTTCATCCCTACAGAAATCCCTATCAGCACTAAAGCGATCACAGTCTCCATCCGAATCAGTATCAGTCTCCACTTGGCCATCTATATTTCCTCTATCATTTGCATCCCCATCATCCCCATTATTCAAGGCATTCTCTTTAGAAGAGTTCCCAACATCTATCTTGCCAATTGATCTTGTAAATGGCACTAGTTCAAATCCAGGTTCCCTAATAACATTTCCATTTTCGTCAAGTTCCTCGATGGTGACTGCGGCTTTTTTACTCAACTGTAGATCAGAAGGAAGGGACTTTGTGGCCATCATCTTGATTTCATTCTTTGACTGGTGGTCACAGTACACCTCCATGATTTTATGCTTATAAGCCTAATTGCAAAAACTGATAATGGCTTTATCAGTAGATAATTCCTTCAACCCATTTCGAAAATCTTTTCCAGGCTCAACATAGTAATACACCATACATCCATAATGCCCTAATTTATCCACCATGTAGTTTATTTCATGCACAGACATTGTTTCCGCATCACATAAATCAACATAATCTACATGCCCATCAATGTATCTGTAATTTTGCCAATTGAATTTACCCCCATGATACATTCGTATGGTGAACAGAGAAGAACCTGGCACTGCATGACATGCGATTAGTTAAAAAAATTAAAATTTTAGTCAAAACTAGTAAACCCAAATTCAATGAATGAATTATTTATTAACCCTTTTTTCCAGCATTAAGAATACTTTAATCAGTGTACTTTGAAATCTCTATGCTTTATTGCAAAAAGCCAAAACAACGATAAAATGTAGCCCATACATACATGAAACACACAATCTATTCTGGGATGTGGATAACTAAACAAACTTAGGGATTTTAAAACTTTACCGTATGCATCAGATGGATCAAAATGCTGGCCCCTTGGTCTAATCACCCACTTGGGCCACTCCATCGTTCCACGAAATGAAGATCTTGTTTGTCAACCCGTTCTGCTGTCGCTCAATCCCCCAAAATTCTTCGTTGTTGCGTTTTTCTTTAATTGTCAATTGTTTGATGTTTGGGTTTAGGCAAGGAAGAAGAAGAACAGATGCATGGGAGAGGAAGAAGAGGTGCAAGTGATATTTTCGACTTCCTAAATTGACCCTACCTTTTGTATTGGAAATCGCGCGGACAGACACCTCTGCAAAGTTAACGACTAAATTTAACAGAATGGACTCGAGTCTACCTTTAATACAGTTTGATGGTCAAAACCAGCCTTTTAATAGTTGAGTGACCAAAACTCGACGATGGCAAAAGTTTAGTGGCCACTGGGATAATTTGCTCTTTATTTGGTTCATGGATATGTGATCGGTATTTGCCAAATTTGTCAAACACATGCCCAACTTTCTATAGGGAAATTTAGGAATAATTTTAGAAGCTTCCCCTAAAGTTTCTAATAATTTTACTATCCTTTCCTAAAATTTTAAAAATATTATTAACCTCTTTTAAAACTAATTTTCTTGTGACAAATTACTAGGACCGTCAATGACGCCGAACCAACTAGAGCTCAACCTATTTGGCCCCAAAAAAGATCCATGAGTCTAAAGTATAATTGAATCGGGCAAAGTTTTGATCTAAATATTAGATCCGGACAAAATGTAAGTCAAATTTGAGTCATTCTAGGTTCATGCCTGATTAAAACTACACCCATGTATGAGTATAATTATATATGTAAAATATATATGATAATATATATAATTTATAATTATTTATACTACATATACTACATATAAATGCAGAGGAGGGTGTTTGGGGTAAACAAAAATCTGTCACTTTATATACTTCATGAACTACCCTTGATGATGAAGAAACTTTTGGTATAAACAAAAATTTATCTTTCTTTGATAGCTACCCACTACCAATATGATTTTTACCAAATAATATGTATTTTTTCATATTCTATTTTTCAACTTATTTAGTAACTCTTAATTTTAATTAGCAACTACCAATTATGGTTCTGAATAACTATTAAATAACTACTTTTTATAACTTTTATTATTTTAAAATTTTCACATATGTATTTTCAAAATATAAAATCAATTTTCTTAAAAATTATTTTAATAAATATACTCAATATATTTTACAAATACTTTTTCTATTAGTTGCACACACATTAGTATGTGTCTTAAATACTAGTACATATTGCGACATAAAATGTTAATAATTTATATGTAAATTTGCATTAATTCATAATTATAAAGTATATATTATATATAATTATGTATTTAATTATAAGTTTGGGCCAAACCCGATTTGATTCTGAAACTCATATAATAGTGTGAGTTGAGATTAAACCTTTTTAATATAAACAAGAATCCCAAAAGCTTGAAACCTGAAAATTCATATAATTTGTGAACTAAGTTTGGGCTTGCTAAAGTCCGATTGACACCACTACAAATTATCCCAATTCGTAAAAAAATTAATAACAAAAAAATGTGCATTCATTTTTTTTGTTATTATTGGTTTGAAATTAATACTAATAAAAAGCTATTATTCGTTTGAAAAGCTATTCTTTTTTTTTTTATTATTCTTCTGTCCTGGAACTTGGATATTTGAGTATAGTAACATGTGTATACTGGGGGAAGACCCTTCTGCTATTTGTGGCAGCTGTTTCGGAAGATGTATCCCGATGATAATTCTTCCCGAAGAAAATGGCATAGTGGAATGAGGCCGTAGAGAATTGTGCATCGCCACATCCGCTTTTGGATGGGCAAATGGTAATTTTCACAAAGATGCATATAAAAGAATAAAATATCTTTAGTCATTCTGACACCAGAAAAAAAAATTTTCAAAACAAAAATACTATTTCGCCCAAATGCGGCGATTCTAAGTGCAGAAAACAATCTCATCGAACACTTTAAATGAGATATTTTCTAAATTTAGGATTATTTGTAGAAATTTGTCCAAATATCCATACAAATTAAACTTGACTCTAACTCTATGTCCTAAGCTCTAACAATATTTGAACTCTTAAAAGTTTTTGGTCCAAGGCTGCACTGCCATGCTTGCGTCCAAGGCTGCACTGCCATGCTTGCATCAACAAAATATATGTTTGGAAGCTCCAAAGTACCGTTTTGTAAATTGAGTTCATTGCATTTATCTCCCTAGAGGTTTATCTAAATCACAGCAATAAATCCATAGTTTTTTTTAAGGGTAAATAACCTTTTATCTCTCTATGATTTGGTGCTTTACCACATGACTCTCTTATAGTTTAAAAATCTATATATACCACATGACCTCCATATAGTTGAAAAACCTATATATAATCCTTTCGTGATTTGGGTTAAAGTGATACCATTAGTTTTTCCATTAAAACTAATGGTCAATAGTAAAAAGTCAAAATCAAACTAATAAATTGACAAATTCACTCTTTCACTACTTTTTTCGTTTTCTTTCTTTTTTTTTTTGTGGAAGCGAAGAGATGATTTGGAAACATATACTTTGGCCTATAAAACCTTAATTTTCTCCAATTACAAAAGAGATGAGAGGGAAATAAAAATAAATGAATAAGAAACAAAAAAGATGGAAGGGAAATATAAAACAAATAAATAAGAAAGAAAAAATACCAAATCTTTTTTATTACAAATATCATTATAGATTTTTAAACCAAATCTTTAATGGTATTTTCTAGTTCTTATTTATCTATTTTGTATTTCAATTTCTTCCTTTTTATGTTTGGAGGGGAATAAAAAGAAGTAATGAAAGGGTAAATTTGTTAAGTTATTAGTTTGATTTTGACTTTTACTATTAACCATTTGTTTTAATGGAAAAACAAACAATTACATATTAACTCAAATCATGAGAGGGTTATATATAGGTTTTTAAATCATATGGGGGTTATGTGGTAAAGTACAAAGGATAAAAGTTAATTTATCCTTTTTCCAAATCAGCCCAACATTTTAAATAGCCAAACATTTGCCACTGCTCAATTGCATCATTTGCAACAGAAGTTTTTGAAATTATCAAAATACTGATTTTCTATCATCCTT